ATGGCCATTTGGATATATATATATATATATATATAACATCATTTGAGGGCCATACAAAGTGATCAACTTAAAAATTAACCTGTTATAATTTTTTTTAATTTATTTTATTGATTTTTTTACAGAGAGGAAGGGAGAGGGATAGAGAGTTAGAAACATCGATGAGAGAGAAACATCAATCAGTTGCGTCCTGCACACTCCCTACTGGGGATGTGCCCGCAACCAAGGTACATGCCCTTGACCGGAATCGAACCTGGGACCTTTCAGTCCGCAGGCCGATGCTCTACCCACTGAGCCAAACCGGTTAGGGCACCTATTATTTTAATTATTAGAAAGTAGTGTGTATGTGCCACCTCATCTGTGGAGTGAGGGGTCAAAGACATATTTACAAATGCTATGGAAAAAACCCCACTTACTTCTCCTATTAATGACAGGGTCCTGGATAATTGACCCCAGACAGCATCTATCACTTCCGAGACATTTCTGTCTTGTCTCATTTGATGCATGTGTCCCCAGCACCTACCCGGAACAAGCTGTGCTAGGTGCAAGCTGGGAATACAACATGGCCCCAGCTTTCTAGGAGCTAGTAGGCTCATGAGAAAAGGCAGGAATTTGCAGAAAGGAAAAATTAGAAGGACATATGATTTGGTGATTGAATTATGGATAATCTGGACACTGGAAAACAAACCTTGGTTATGCACTTGCCTATGCCTTTGCTTCAGTTTCCCCTGTTGCAAAGCAGAGCCAGGACTAGAGTGAGGGCAAGATGAGTGGTGACCTCAGATACAAAATTTAAGGGGGCAAAAATTCAGTAATCAAAAGAAATAATATTTTAATGCAGTAGCTTAAAAATAAAAATGAATGTTAAGAAGTCTACAGTGAGCAATATTAAAATGTTAAATAAAGCCATGATCCGACCATGCACTTGCATGAGCTGGCCTAACTCTCCTCACTCCCACCCGGGCCCTGGTTTCAATAGAACATTTGTTATAATGGCCTGTGGGCTGTAGTTTGCAGATTTCATTTTTTAAAATATTGCATTAAAATATTCCTGATCTTGACAGTTGAGGCTTTTTAGTACTCTCTTAAATTTGACACCCTCACTTACTCTAGTCCCAGTCCCACTGCAAAGTGTCCTTGAAAATAGGGTTGCCAGGTAAAACACAGGACGCACAATTAGCATGGAATTTTAAATACAATATGTGCCACAGGATATACTTATACAGGAAGGTTATTTATCTGGAATTCAAATTTAATTGAGCATCATGTATTTTCATTTGCTAAATTTGGCAACCCTACTTGAGAAGTAACATAGAGCCCCCCTCTAACACAAGGCAGTATTTAGTCCCATGGCAACATACCCCACCCACATACACATACGTTTTGCACACTATGAAAGAGACATTAACACCCCATTTCCATGGGATGCCCCTCCTTTGATCTTCTTTCAGCTTCTTGCCTTATAGTTTCAGCCACTGAGCCAGACCCAAATTGCCTGGGCCCCCCTCAGCCTCCAGAAGCACCCTCTTCTCAGGGTCTGGAGCACAACTCATTGCTCCAAGCCAGACCGGATCCCACTGTGCCCTCCTGGCATGTCAGATCAGCACAGTCCCATCCGTCCACCAAGCTGTCAGCATCCATTCCCATAGGGGCAGTGGGATTCTTATCAGCGGGCACTAGGGTCAGGGAGAGCAGTGGGCAAGCCTTGAGCACCAATGTGTCAGTGACAACCCAAAAATGGCCGAGAATGGGAGGGCAAGCTAGGCTTGAAGAAGCCACGCTCAGAAGGGCAAAGATGGGCGGAGCCAAAAAGAGAGGAAAGGACCAATGGGGACTTTCAGAGGGATTGGGGCCAACCCTGATAGGAAGGAGGACATTGATAAGAATCAAACAGAACTTCTGTGGACCACAGATGAAGAACTGAGATGGGGGCGGGGGGCGGGGGTTGAGGAGAAGACTGGACAAGGAAATGAATGGGGTTCTGGGCGGCGTGGGGTTGCACACTGTCTGAGGGGGGCGAGCGGGTAACAGCCGAGCTGTTGAATCCAAGACACCACTGGCTTTCTCCCACCATTGACCACTCAGGGGCTGCTCGTTTCTGCACACTGGGCTTGCATCAGAGTTATCTGGGATGATTGTTACACGACTCCCAACTCTGGCCATCGCTCCAGACGTACTTTCTTAGAATCATCCAGGAGCCCAACTCTGCATGTAAAACACTTCCCAGGTAGTCCTTATACACCCCAAACCCAGCCTCAGAGGGAAAAAGGAAGAGATACTGTCTGCCCCCTCTTTCATAGCAGACATCTCTCTGTATCTTGGGGCTCCATTCACTTGAATTTAGGGCCACACCAGAGGCTGGTGGTCATTCTGGAAAATTCGCCAGTGGAGGTTGTAGATGACAATGGCAGGCAGAAGCAGTGACTGTTTGCACAACCTCATCAGAGCATGAAGAACCTCGAGATAGACTTCATGTCAAAGTGGACCTGGTGCCGGGGAAGAGTGATGACGGCACCCCACACCACCTGTCGCAGGAGCCCGCCTACATCTCACTCTCCTCCAGAATCTCCTCCATGGTGTGGGCCTGGGTGAAGTCCCCCTCGCTGCTCTCGGACAGGCTGCGGCCCCAGCGCCAGGCTGTGTGGCCCCCGTGGGACCTGGTGCCCGGCTCCCCGAGGCCCTGCATGGTCAGCGGCAGGAGCTGCCCGCTGCCAGGCGAGGACTGTGACTTCTGCAGCGCCCTGGCACTGTCTCCCTTGGAGAGCTTCTTGGGATACTTCCCCAGGAACCGGAAGTTCTTCTCCAGGCCCCAGGCTCTGCAGCCCGAGTGGTGGGCCAGCAGGAAGCGGCCCCAGTGCCTCCGCAGCTCGGCCTTCACCTGCCGGGCGAGAAGAGGGCAGCGTTACTGTCTCAGAGTCATTTGGTCTTGGGTCCATTCACCAAATATTAATGAGAGGCTAACTCCGTGCCACCCTTGGGAAACCTATCAGATTGGGGGAGATGAACAGAGAGGAGTGAACAAATACCCGTGAGCCTACACATGGCAGTGACACTGTGAGTCCATTAAGCAGGACCATGGGGGAGGAGACAAACATTTGGGATAAGGTTGAACAGAAATGGAAAGGAAAGGACTGTGTCAAGGTGGCATTTGAGGCCCACCTGATGGGAGAAGATACAGAAGAGGCAGCCATGAGCAAGATGGAGGAGGGTTTGCTATCAAGAAGCTTATGTTCCAGGGCGAGGAGACAGAAATGAACATTTAAACCTGGAAAGATGAAAGGGGACTGGAAATACACCAATTCTACTGGAGAACTGTTCAGGAGAAACTGGTCTGGCCTCTGCCCCTCCCCCTTTCAGGACTTTCCAGAGGAGCAGAGAGCTGGTTGGGGATATGCAATGATCTATAATGATAAAAGCATAATATGCAAATCGATCGAGTGGCCGAACAACAGAAAGACCGTCAGGACATGGAAGACCTTCCGGACGAAGCCGGGGCTGGGAGGGCCGAGGCAGCCGGGGCTGCAAAGGCCTACTCTTGCACAAATTTCGTGCATCGGGCCTCTAGTGTTAATAATAAAAACCATCACTGTTATCAGGTATTGGGCCTTTCCCGTGAGCTTGGCATGCCCAGGACAACATTAGAGGGTAGGGACAGTTATTATTCCCACTTTACAGATGAGGAAACTGAGGCTCAAAGAGCCACAGTAACCTAACTAACTCAAAGCTCCTAAGTGGGTGAGTGGTGGCTTGAGCCCAGATTTTTGGACTGCCAAGGTTCAAGTTTGTTTCCTCTATCACACTAACACTTCCAGCAGGGCCAAGGTTGGGCTCTGAGCTTCCTTACACTCATTCCATCCCCTTTTCCCATTTCTCTCAGCTGCCCCTGCTCTCACCCCTCGAACTCACGGTACAAATGTGTCCCATTGCCTGATGGTCACTGCACACTCCCCATGGCACCATCACATAAACAGGAAACCCTGGGTGGCAGTAGGATGCCAGCCCAGCCTCACAGGAAGCTAGGATGGTAGCATGGAAAACATACCTCTCCATTGACAAAGCAGTACTGCAAGGCCACAAGTAGTCCCTGGAGTGAAAAGAAGAGGCGGCGTGAACTTCGATTCGGTAGAAGATGTGTCTGAGTTACTGGGAAAGCCCAAAGGCCTGCCCTGGTCCTAGTAGTCCCCAGGGGAGGCAGGCGACTACACTGCTCACACTAACCAGAGCTAGTCATACCGGTGAACTTGGATTTCCATCAGGTCTCTTCTTACTTTGACACCCACCGCGCGTATCAGCCTAAGTGTTTGCTTAGGTGCTCGTAGGTCAATGATGATTAAGTCCCAAAGACCCTATATCATTCATTCAACTATGCAAATACTGTGCCAGGCCACTGCCCATTTCTATTTGTCCACAGTAGGCATTAGCTAATTTTTTCCCTTCACTTGAATTCTTTCCTTTTGGAAACTGACCCTCCCCTACTTCCTAGGCTTCTGTCAGGGTCAATCATGGGACCCCCATGTTCTAGGATGACCATCACCACAATCTAATTAGTCCAAATGGTCATGTGATCCAAGCGAAGCCAACCTGAGTTCTTTTCACTGGGAAAGAAGAGAGGGTTGTACTCTCTTCCTAGATTTTCCAGCTTTATAGTCACAGCTTTATATTTCTGGGCATCTTGCCAGCTACATGGTGAAAACCCATCTAAGAATGATGCCAACAGAGAAAAAAAGTAGAGGCTGGAGATGGTGGAAGACAGAATTCTGATATTGTCTGAGTATCTGGATCAGCTATGCCTGATTCTGACATTTTTATTTATGTGAGATAGTAAATAGCCCTTTCTCTTGTCAAAATATTTTTTTTGAAGAGATAGATAATGTCACACCAGTGGTTTCTCATCACACTTAGCTTAAAATAAAATATAACCACAGAAGGCATTGCAGTGGTTCTCAACCTTCTGGCCCTTAAAATACAGTTCCTCACACTGTGCCCTCCTGGCATGTCAGATCAGCACAGTCCCATCCGTCCACCAAGCTGTCAGCATCCATTCCCATAGGGGCAGTGGGATTCTTATCAGCGGGCACTAGGGTCAGGGAGAGCAGTGGGCAAGCCTTGAGCACCAATGTGTCAGTGACAACCCAAAAATGGCCGAGAATGGGAGGGCAAGCTAGGCTTGAAGAAGCCACGCTCAGAAGGGCAAAGATGGGCGGAGCCAAAAAGAGAGGAAAGGACCAATGGGGACTTTCAGAGGGATTGGGGCCAACCCTGATAGGAAGGAGGACATTGATAAGAATCAAACAGAACTTCTGTGGACCACAGATGAAGAACTGAGATGGGGGCGGGGGGCGGGGGTTGGGGAGAAGACTGGACAAGGAAATGAATGGGGTTCTGGGCGGCGTGGGGTTGCACACTGTCTGAGGGGGGCGAGCGGGTAACAGCCGAGCTGTTGAATCCAAGACACCACTGGCTTTCTCCCACCATTGACCACTCAGGGGCTGCTCGTTTCTGCACACTGGGCTTGCATCAGAGTTATCTGGGATGATTGTTACACGACTCCCAACTCTGGCCATCGCTCCAGACGTACTTTCTTAGAATCATCCAGGAGCCCAACTCTGCATGTAAAACACTTCCCAGGTAGTCCTTATACACCCCAAACCCAGCCTCAGAGGGAAAAAGGAAGAGATACTGTCTGCCCCCTCTTTCATAGCAGACATCTCTCTGTATCTTGGGGCTCCATTCACTTGAATTTAGGGCCACACCAGAGGCTGGTGGTCATTCTGGAAAATTCGCCAGTGGAGGTTGTAGATGACAATGGCAGGCAGAAGCAGTGACTGTTTGCACAACCTCATCAGAGCATGTCAAAGTGGACCTGGTGCCGGGGAAGAGTGATGACGGCACCCCACACCACCTGTCGCAGGAGCCCGCCTACATCTCACTCTCCTCCAGAATCTCCTCCATGGTGTGGGCCTGGGTGAAGTCCCCCTCGCTGCTCTCGGACAGGCTGCGGCCCCAGCGCCAGGCTGTGTGGCCCCCGTGGGACCTGGTGCCCGGCTCCCCGAGGCCCTGCATGGTCAGCGGCAGGAGCTGCCCGCTGCCAGGCGAGGACTGTGACTTCTGCAGCGCCCTGGCACTGTCTCCCTTGGAGAGCTTCTTGGGATACTTCCCCAGGAACCGGAAGTTCTTCTCCAGGCCCCAGGCTCTGCAGCCCGAGTGGTGGGCCAGCAGGAAGCGGCCCCAGTGCCTCCGCAGCTCGGCCTTCACCTGCCGGGCGAGAAGAGGGCAGCGTTACTGTCTCAGAGTCATTTGGTCTTGGGTCCACTCACCAAATATTAATGAGAGGCTAACTCCGTGCCACCCTTGGGAAACGTATCAGATTGGGGGAGATGAACAGAGAGGAGTGAACAAATACCCGTGAGCCTACACATGGCAGTGACACTGTGAGTCCATTAAGCAGGACCAAGGTTGAACAGAAATGGAAAGGAAAGGACTGTGTCAAGGTGGCATTTGAGGCCCACCTGATGGGAGAAGATACAGAAGAGGCAGCCATGAGCAAGATGGAGGAGGGTTTGCTATCAAGAAGCTTATGTTCCAGGGCGAGGAGACAGAAATGAACATTTAAACCTGGAAAGATGAAAGGGGACTGGAAATACACCAATTCTACTGGAGAACTGTTCAGGAGAAACTGGTCTGGCCTCTGCCCCTCCCCCTTTCAGGACTTTCCAGAGGAGCAGAGAGCTGGTTGGGGATATGCAATGATCTATAATGATAAAAGCATAATATGCAAATCGATCGAGTGGCCGAACAACAGAAAGACCGTCAGGACATGGAAGACCTTCCGGACGAAGCCGGGGCTGGGAGGGCCGAGGCAGCCGGGGCTGCAAAGGCCTACTCTTGCACAAATTTCGTGCATCGGGCCTCTAGTGTTAATAATAAAAACCATCACTGTTATCAGGTATTGGGCCTTTCCCGTGAGCTTGGCATGCCCAGGACAACATTAGAGGGTAGGGACAGTTATTATTCCCACTTTACAGATGAGGAAACTGAGGCTCAAAGAGCCACAGTAACCTAACTAACTCAAAGCTCCTAAGTGGGTGAGTGGTGGCTTGAGCCCAGATTTTTGGACTGCCAAGTTCAAGTTTGTTTCCTCTATCACACTAACACTTCCAGCAGGGCCAAGGTTGGGCTCTGAGCTTCCTTACACTCATTCCATCCCCTTTTCCCATTTCTCTCAGCTGCCCCTGCTCTCACCCCTCGAACTCACGGTACAAATGTGTCCCATTGCCTGATGGTCACTGTACACTCCCCATGGCACCATCACATAAACAGGAAACCCTGGGTGGCAGTAGGATGCCAGCCCAGCCTCACAGGAAGCTAGGATGGTAGCATGGAAAACATACCTCTCCATTGACAAAGCAGTACTGCAAGGCCACAAGTAGTCCCTGGAGTGAAAAGAAGAGGCGGCGTGAACTTTTATTCAGTAGAAGATGTGTCTGAGTTACTGGGAAAGTCCAAAGGCCTGCCCTGGTCCTAGTAGTCCCCAGGGGAGGCAGGCGACTACACTGCTCACACTAACCAGAGCTAGTCATACCGGTGAACTTGGATTTCTATCAGGTCTCTTCTTACTTTGACACCCACCACGCGTATCAGCCTAAGTGTTTGCTTAGGTGCTCGTAGGTCAATGATGATTAAGTCCCAAAGACCCTATATCATTCATTCAACTATGCAAATACTGTGCCAGGCCACTGCCCATTTCTATTTGTCCACAGTAGGCATTAGCTAATTTTTTCCCTTCACTTGAATTCTTTCCTTTTGGAAACTGACCCTCCCCTACTTCCTAGGCTTCTGTCAGGGTCAATCATGGGACCCCCATGTTCTAGGATGACCATCACCACAATCTAATTAGTCCAAATGGTCATGTGATCCAAGCGAAGCCAACCTGAGTTCTTTTCACTGGGAAAGAAGAGAGGGTTGTACTCTCTTCCTAGATTTTCCAGCTTTATAGTCACAGCTTTATATTTCTGGGCATCTTGCCAGCTACATGGTGAAAACCCATCTAAGAATGATGCCAACAGAGAAAAAAAGTAGAGGCTGGAGATGGTGGAAGACAGAATTCTGATATTGTCTGAGTATCTGGATCAGCTATGCCTGATTCTGACATTTTTATTTATGTGAGATAGTAAATAGCCCTTTCTCTTGTCAAAATATTTTTTTTGAAGAGATAGATAATGTCACACCAGTGGTTTCTCATCACACTTAGATTAAAATAAAATATAACCACAGAAGGCATTGCAGTGTTTCTCAACCTTCTGGCCCTTAAAATACAGTTCCTCAATGTTGTGACCCAACCATAAAATTATTTTCGTTGCTACTTCATAACTGTAATGTTGCTACTGTTATGAATTGTAATGTAAATATCTGATATGCAAGATGGTCTTAGGCGACTCCTGTGAAAGGGTCGTTCGACCGCCAAAGGGGTCACGACCCACAGGTTGAGAACCGCTGCATTAAGGTGATCTGGGCTGTGTCTGTGTTATTGGCTTCTTGTATCACGCTTCCCCTCAGCCACTATATTCCAGCCTCGCAGGCCTCCTGGCTTCCCCCAGCATCTCAAGCTCATGTATTCATCACCTGTTGCTGTATAACTTCGTGCAGGGGTGGGGAATGTCCAGGCCGAGGCCTGTATCATTTGGTCTGGCCCTGCCAAGGCAATTGTTCTGGGCTGTGTCTGTGTTATTGGCTTCTTGTATCACGCTTCCCCTCAGCCACTATATTCCAGCCTCGCAGGCCTCCTGGCTTCCCCCAGCATCTCAAGCTCATGTATTCATCACCTGTTGCTGGATAACTTCGTGCAGGGGTGGGGAATGTCCAGGCCGAGGGCTGTATCATTTGGTCTGGCCCTGCCAAGGCAATCGTAGGCTGGACTTGAAATTCAATAATTCTAGGAGCTTTTTTTCATAGCAACATAATTTTTAAGCTGATAATTTTGTCTGGCCCTCCAATGATGTTATCAATATCCAAATGGCCTTTGGCAGAAAAAGGGTTCCCCACCCCTGACTTAGTGGATCAAAACAATAAAGATGTATCATCTCACATACTTTCTATGGGCCAAGACTCTGGCAGTGGCTTAGCTGGGCAGTCTGGTTCAGGGTCATTTTTCAGGTTGTCATCCAGAGGCTGGTTGGAACTTCAGTCATCTGAAGGCTTGACTTGCTCCCACGATGGCTCACACGCCTGGCAAGTTGTTGGTAGGAGGCCTCAGCGTCTCTCCAGAGAGCGGGTTGGTTGTCGTCATGACAGGGCAGCAGGCTTCCCCCAAAGGTGCAATTCAAGGGAGCAAGGCAGAGGCCACATACCTTCATGCCTACACGACTTCAGTGGTCACACATGTGAACCTCATTCAGTGTGCGAGAGGACTACACAAAGCCTCCAATACCAGGAGATAAACATCCTTGGGCGCCATCTTGGACACCGGCTACCACCTCCGAGTTCTTCCTCAGGTCCCTTCACACTTTTTGTTTTCAGAGTCATTCTTCTTTCAAATCTCTGCCTAACTTACTTTTCAAACTTCAGGTCTTAGCCCAAATATCATCTAAAAGAAAGGTCTTTCCTAACCACCCAATTTTTGGTGGCCATTCTATATTTTTCACACCAGAATTATACTATTTATTTGTCAATGTGATTATTATTATTATTATCTGTCCTTATTCCCCGCCCCTCCAAATAAGACTAGCATCCTTATCTAGCCTTTTCACTGCCAGATCCCCAGCACTTGAAACAAATGCCTGGGACATAATAGGAGCTCACCAATATGTGTTGAGTAAATAAGTGAATGACTGAATGAGTGAATGAATGAATGGGTCGGGTTTCTATAACTTACAACTAAGAGTCTTGCCCTGTATGTTGTTGTACCACTTGTAAACTATGATAGGACCATTTCTTTGTGACATCTTCCTAGTTATTTAGAATTGTGGACACCAGGATCACAATGAAAGCAATAGGCATTTTCAATGATAAAGAATTTGTGTAGGGGAAGTTTCAATAAAGGGAAAATTTTTTTCTGGATTCACTGCTTAATTGCCAGAGGTCTGCAATCAAAGACGCTTGAGTTAATGTTTGTTTCTACTGTTTTTTTTCCAGACTCCTGCAATTCCTGATTTGTTCAAGTCACATGTGATAACCTACCTCCCATAGCTTTCCCTGCGACCTGAGGGTCTGTGGGACCTGGGCTGTGTGTCTGATATATGAAGCTGGATAGGCATACAAGACCCAATTACTTGAGGGTTTACAGGAAGAATTTCACGAAAACCCAGAACTCACAAGGAAAAAACACATTCCAACACGAAGGTCATGGTGCAGGCTGACTCTCCCACTTCTCTTAAGAATATTTCTCTCAGCCCTGTTGCTGGTAAAGGAGATTCAGTACTGGTTTGTTTTTTTTAAATAATGAAATTGAGAAGGAATTATAAAATGTTGCCCTGGGGGAAGATTTTTATGCCTTTCCCCGTGGAAGCCAGAAATCTGGCTGCCGCATCAATCAAATACAGTGGGGCCTTGACTTACGAGTTTAATTCGTTCAGAGACCGAGCTCGTTAAGGAGCTCATTAAGGAGCTCGTTAACTCAAATTACTCTGTCAACTCAATGCAAAAAATCGGCCGAGAAACAGCTGGTATCTCAAAAAACTTGTTAGTCGGGACACTCATAAGTCAAGGCCCCCCTGTACTTGGCTTCTCCCCACCAGTGTGGCATTTCTGCCCTCTTATGTGGCTAGATATTCCAAGGCTATAGCTCCTAAACAGGAGCATGGTAATACCAAGCAATCACTTCACACATGCAATCTCATTGGAGGTT